TATCATGGTGGGACATATCTGAAATGACTGTGCACATAGACCACGTACCACTAGTGGAGAACGTTGTAAGCACACAACCAATTTTTTTTTGGGAAAAGACACACAAATACTCGTCGAACTCTTCGACGACGAGACTAACATACTAGTTGCCAATTTATTATGCTCACAGCTTGAATGCTGCGCTCAAATTTCTCAAAATAAGTAAAATAAATAAACAAACACACGCATTTTCAATGAGCCAAGCTGAATGCCGTTTAAACAACATGAAAATATCGAGTCATTCTCACTTGTCAGTCGACAAGACATCAAAATATCGGTTTCAATTCAACAATCCATCAATTCAATACACAGCGCAATGGCAGTATGCTATTTTGTGGGTCCAACTGTTTTGAACTGCTTAGCTCGAATGTGGAAAGAAAAAGGAGTGAATATAAGGGTTACGGTTGTTCTATACAATATGAATCTGATTAATTTTCATTGCACTTTAGAGTCAATTTGTGTTTGTGTATATATATAAATGATGCCTTCATGTTTTAAAGTTCACTCCATTCCATTGGATAAACAAAACAATCTTCATTCAAAGCAAATTTTAGATTGTCATTGTCGAGACTGTCATCGTCGGTTATCGTGCGGTGACTGAATTTGAATTTACAATGAGCTGAAAATAATTGGACCGAACGAAAGAGACCATTTGCTTTGAACATTCCCATCCAGTTCCATGTGGTAGTAATTCATCGAATTGAATGGAATTCGTTGTCCTGCGGTGCAAAAGTTCTTTTTTTTCATCCTCTCTTCTCCTTTCATACTTTGTAACATATTCGGTGTGTGGCAGCAATGAAATAGAAGTGGGCATGCCCATGGTATATACTTCCATTGTCGTGGGCTTAAGATGAAAATTCCCTTTGAATTCATGTTTTTTTTTTGTTAATGGAACGAGCAAAAGATCCGTTAATTGACGTCAGAACATTCTCGTTTAATTGGTTTTTGGTTTTGATGTACGCCTTAATGGTCTTTTGTCAACACAATGACATTCATTCAAATCGCATTATCGCTCGAGCCAAGGAAAATTTAGACAAATTTATTTTAAAAGAAAATTACATTTATGAAATTTGATAAGCTAAATCAAGAGCGGAAAGGGGTTTCTGGTGATGGAAAATGAATAAATTGTTTCAATTGCAAATGGAATAACAAACAACGACTTTGATGTGGAAATGTTCTGGGTCTCGCTCGTGCCATCATTTTCATTGACTCAGAGTAAATAGATTTTGCCCAGCAATAGCATTGCATGAGTGTTTCTCGTCTAGCGACACCACACTTAATGCCGAAAAATCGAATGAAGCACGCACACCAACCGAAAATTGTCCAGGGAAATTGGTGAAAAAAAAGGATCATTTACACTGGCATTGTTATCGGGGTGTGTGTGTGTGTGTGGATCATGTCATTGAAAGTTTAGCTGTATGTTTGCTCGTTTATTTTTGGGCTGCTGCGACGTCAACGAGCTACACAAACCATATGGTTTGTTTGCTGCTACGCCAAAACAAACAAAGCACCGAGTCGCCGGAAAAGTTATACAATGATTCTCATCAACATCAATCAAGCGACAAACACTTTCGATATACAAAATGCGAGTTATCGTTTCCGTGCGCTCTGCGTTTGCATCATTCATGGTCAACTTTCACGTGTAGCATTCACGCTCATCACTTTCAATGAGTTCGTTTTATTTGCACTTGACAAACAATCCTCATTCATTTGCAATAATTTTGACAATCAAATAAATTCAACGCCAATAAAATGTGAGCTATGTTGTGTGTGTGTGTGTGTGTGTGAGAGAGAGAGAGAGCGACGCCCAGGTCGAATTTACCGATATCAATCGAATAAACTATTGCATGACGGTAATGTGAAGGCTGAATTGATGCTACTCAATAAAAACCATAAGTGTGTTAAACACAATGAAGAGCATTTTGTTCGGAAAACCGACACTTATCTAATGTTCCCTTTGATGACGCTGATGTGTGAGTGTCTGACTGAGCCACTTGATCTGACAGTTTTCTTACACATTTGATTGAAACCTGTGTAAGCAACGTCTTTGATATCTGCCACTCGTGACTTTGATCTAGCGATGTGTGCTTAGAAAAGGCGCAACATCCCAACAATTATTCAACAATTACGATGTGACGCAATGCGAACGACGGCGGCTCTTGAATGCATTGGTAAAGTGAGAGGGCGATTTAGCGTGTGAAGTCGATAAAAGCGATTAAACCCGTCACGAATTATTCACAACTCTAATAATGATCCAGCGGCTCGCTGTCAAAAAAGGCGATGTTTTTCCAGGTAATAAATAAAATAACTCCAACGAGTGAGTAAAAACTGTGAGTGTTAATGTTTTTTTTTCTGTCTTCTTTTGCTGTTTTGCCTAGGAATGTTTTGCACACAGTTTTTGTCTTTCCATGTGAGAAAGAAGGGAAAAAAAGATCGATGAAGAGATGTCGGCAATAAGATTCATATGACTTCGAGCTATGGTTTATGAAGCAACAACAATATCGCACCATCAAATAAATTAAAATGTCACACGGCAAATGGCGCGATGGTGAATGCGCAACATATCAACGGGCTGGAAGAAGAATCGTTATGTTTCTTCTGTTGTTCATTTGCTTCATTATGCGCGCATCATCTTACCTGCGAGCATATATTTAATATTCCTTCAACTTCTTTATTGCATGAGAACCAAAAGGAATACGAACGAACAGCCACAAACACTTACACACACGCCGAGCGAAATCGTTTAATTTAAACATGTTGGTTGAAAATATTAAAAAAAAACAACAACCGACGGACCGAATAAATGATGTCTTTTAATAAGAACTGTGTTGAGGTTCGAAATAAACAGAAATCATCATAAAACAAAGCGTCGATTGCGCTATCAAACGTGTAAAATCTTTCATAATTTTTGTGTCTGCTCATTTTTTTTTCATCTTCTTCTGCTTGAATCTCTTACTCATATTCCACTGAAATGGGATACTATAAACCAAATACTTGAGACCAAACTAATGGTGTGCCCTTTTACATCGAGGCAAAGAGAAGAGACGAAGAAGAAAGAAACAAAATTATTCATCGAAAAGGTTATGCATGCTTCCAATGACTCTCGAAGCGCGCTTTTTGTTGTGGCATTTAATTTTTCTGTAGTTTCTCACTCGTTGGCTTCTAAAGCGATGCATGATTTTCCACTCGTTTTTGTTTTTGCTTCTCATTCGCGTTCGTGTTCGCGCTATTCATTCACAGTCACGCAACAACACTCCACAAGAGGTAAACGAACAACCAGCAAATACTATGCGTTTGTTGCTTGACTTTGTGTCATTAAACCAGCTCAAACAAACAATAACGAAAAATAAAAACGGAGCTCACGTGTACTCATTTATTCTCGCTTGCATTTGTGTGTGGCGTGGTTTTTTTTTTCTCGATGCTAGGAATTATGCATATTTCCCAATTCACTCTTTTTATTCTGGTTCACATTTAATTCCCAAAACACGGGATATTTGTATAGTATTAGTGCACTCAGTACAAGTGAAAAAAAAATTAACATGCAGAATAGAGAGTTTTTTTCTTGTACGTGTGTGTGTGAGCGTTAGTTTATATGCACCAAACAACAAACAAAACGAACCCAGAAGGTGAAAATTGCTTAAACCAACGAATGTCGGTGAAGTTCTCCAGCTCATAAAAATACGAAGAAGGTAATTTGTGGTGTTGTGCGTGAGCTAAAGAAGACAACGAACAATTTTCTTTCCTTTCTTTCTTCTAAATATCTTTCTGAGTACGATCTCTTGCGAGCGTCTCTTGTGCATTGTTACGATGTGCGGTGTTTATTGTATCGATGTCAGAGGCGAACGCATGTAATATTCTAACTGTGTGCCACAGTTCACATAAAACATCATAAATTCCATATGTGTGAGATGCCATTATTATTTCATGTGTGTGTCTTCTAGATACACACGTCGACTTTGAAAACGTGCAGCACCCAAACCGATATCTATGCAAGCGGTGAAGCAGCCAGTCTGCGCCAATAAAACGCATTCACTTTTTATTCACAGAAACTAATAATATAAATAAATGCATCTCGGTAGGCTCGTAAAGCCAAAGTACTTGTTCGATCGGGCTCGCATCATTTCAATGCAGAAGCAGTAGCAACACAAGCAGCAGCGGCAGCATCGTCAGTAGCATTCACTTTTAATCTTTTTGTTTTGTTTCTCTTTTATTTGAATATATTCTTCGAAATGGAACGGAACTGTCTATTTGATTGTATCAAATGGGCAAAGAATTCCTCGTATGAAAGGAAAATTCGTGCCGATTGTGATTGCTGGCACACTGATTTATGTACGACTACATGTACAGATGCACCAACACCACTTTTATCATCATTCCGAGTGACCTTTTTCCGTATGCAACACTGTTCTCGCTGTGTGTGTGTGTGTGTAAATAAAACGTGACGTTAAAACGTTGTGTTTGAGTAAAAAAAACGAATTGAATATTATTTTTCAATGAGCGAAAAATCTCCCGCCACTTTGACACGAAGAATATTGCTGCTTCGCATACAGCACTCATTTTTGCAGTGCAACTCAAACGAGCTGATTATGTGTATTACGTCATGTGATCTGAATATGAGAAATTCATTAGAAATCGAAGTAGCGAGAAATCTCGCGAGCTATTCGACCGCCTCCTATGATTCATACTCTTTGTATGAATGACAAACTCGACTGTCAAACAACCGATTAGTGCGCTGACATACACAAACGTTCATTGAAGAACACACAAATCGGTTTCCGTTTAGAAATTAAATATTTTTTTCCCAGACAATTCTTTCTGGCGCATATTCGACGAAGAAGAAAACAACGGAAAAAATACCATTTACGAGAAAGTAAACAAAGTATTTACAAAATATGTGTATGTATAAAGTAAATTTAAAAAAATACATTTGGAATATGATTAATGCAATTGTTTTCACTCACCTATTAAAATACTGCTAACGAACGAGATAAAAATGAAATTCAATATCGTGAAACGATAACGAATTTCTGATTGTTGTTTATTTTTAACTGCCATTGTGTTGGTATTTTCTGTCCTTTTCATACACGCACTGGCATCAATTGTGGCGCACCGTAAACGAACGAACGAAAAAAACAAAATTCACAATTTCACACAAGTCTCTTGGCTTCTTGTATTTCGCTTCGTTAAGCGGTTTGGGTATGTATGTGTGTGTGTGTGTGGTGTTGTTGTTCGCTTATTTTCTTCTTCTTTTCGTTTCGTTTCTGTTTTCAATGTGTATCTTATTTTAATGACGTTTTCATTAATTCGGGCCAAAACTGTTCCAACTAAGAAATTTCTGTATTTTGTAATTGTGTCGTTTGCAATCGCTTGGAAACAGGTGCACACAGGTGTAGTTTTTGATAAGTACAAATAAAATTGTTTTCGTTAGTGTTTCAATGTGTCTGTGTGAGAATTCTTTGATTGTGATCGAAATTCGCTTGGTATAATAAAACAACTTTCTTTATCTGGTTTGTTGATACGAATGGATGTCACTCAAAATAATACACAATCATCACAAATACATAAACATAATCCACGAATCTTTCCTTTTGTTATGCACATCTACCTGGTTTTTGTGTGTCAATTAATACCTTTATTTCGGTTTTCGGTATGAAATTGCAATGGTAAACCGTAATAATTTCGATAAATGTTCGGCAATGCAATTAATGTCAACGTGTTGATGTCTATTTTGATAAACACACAAGTTAAATTTGGTTTAAGTGAAATTTTCAACGCACTTAGCACAATTCACAGACAGATTACGGAAAATTGCGATTTGAAACACACATTAATAACTCATCAATATGGCATTCAGTCGTAATGTACATTTAATTATCACTGGCTATTGAACTGCACAATCGATTTAGAGCTTGAATTTCCGTGAACGCATCGTTAGCCGAAAAATCGCTGAATTTTGTCTTTCCGTCGCGAATATTATAAATAACACCGTTTCGACGTGCGGATTTTTTTTCTTTGATTTTCGTTCTAAAAACGTATGCGGTTAAGCAATAAGCACTCAATCGTCCATTCGAAAAACGTCACACAAAATGTTGTACAATCATGTGTTTGTGCTCATAAAAAAAATTCAAGTCTTTTCGTCATTCACACAAGAAGAAAGAAATTTATTCAGGTTTTTTACGGACTCAATTCACTTTTGGGAATAAAAAATCGCTTGAAAATGCCCAAATATTTTGCGACAACAATGAAGCACTTGTTGAAAAATATGCAAGAGTTTAATTAAATCTTCAATTGTGAATTTATTTTTTTGATATTGATGAAATTTCTTGCCCAAAGCCGAAACGCCCAACAATTGGTAGAGCGCGCACACACAACAAAAATGTATTGTGAACTGAACGCGTCCGAATACAATGTTATACTGAACACATCAAATTCTGGTTTGTTGGATTTCAAGCGCGCTTTAGCCAGAGCAATGCTCTATACACGCCAGCGAAATACGAATACATGTGCAATGTGAGCAACCAAAAGAAAAAACGACCATAGCTAGAACGATGACAAAACGCAAACAGCCAACAACAGTAACAGCAACGGCAACAACGGCTAACACAAAATCCAACGCATTTCCATATACACACATGTTTCTCACTCAAAAACTTAAATTCAAATACGAATGAACTGAGTGAAATTCATTGTTGGGACTAATACATGCATCCAACGATCAAAAACCTGTTTTGTTCGTTGACAAGCACACGTTGTCGGTCAAATTTCACTCAAAACATAACGATTTCTACTCAACTGATTTATTCTATCTCGACTGGAGAAAAAATGAACGTGTTCGCCGATTTTGACTCAAACGTTGGATTTTCAGGGGAAATTCATCGCTGGGTGATTCATCCAGTGTGATTCATTCGTAGCATTCATACAGGCGGAAAAAGACACACGATTTTGAATCATTTTTGAATAGTTTCAACAGAGATAATATTTGAATCCCATAAGAATCGATAGCGATGTAGTTTTAAATGTTCAACGAGCTCTGCTCTGTGTATTTTCAACGAGCTCGATCAAACGTCGATAGAAAATTGCCATTCGGTTATGCACTTACACTCGTTTAATATTTGATTTACCAATTGGAATTAATTAACTCCAATTCGAAAGCAAACGTTCTAATTAAATGCATGGGTGTTGTGCAGCCACTCGAATAGATTGTCTAAATTAGTTTGTGACACAAAGTTGGCGTAATTTAAATAGCGCTGCGATCTATGCTTATGAACTGAATTTATTGCCATCGGAAGGGGTACATGATATTTAAGTTGGTTTTGATAGAGCATAAGGGTTGGGTGCAGTTATAATGCGTGTCATGACAGTGTTTTGACATAATTCCCACCGATAGCTTAAAATTCAAACATTTTAACTAGTCTCTGAGATATGTTTGCCGCGTAGCAACAAGGCGATGGCGTTTTACAGCGTTTTGCACTCTACGACTTCGGTGACAGTGTAACGTGGTGAGCACATGTACCGAAAAATAAAAAGAACAAATAATATCCATTTAGAAGCGACCCTCGTTCATAACTTACCGACCGAACCAACGAACGAGAAGAAAAAAATAGAAATAAAATGCAATCGAACTTAAACGACCGTATTAAGCATGAATTGCTGAGGATGTCGTCATGTAATCGCATTTCTCAAACACTTTGTGTAATTTTCTCTGTTGTAATGCGATTTAATCGGGAAAAATTGCTCGAATATATCATTTACACCAAATCAGCATCGTAAAAACGCTCGTGAGAGTGAAACGGAAACCCATTGTGCTAACACGTAAATTAACTGTCAATCGAATATGTGCTACGAAAATTTATCAATCCTATACTAAATCGATGGAATTGCATTTTTTTCCTCCTTTCACTAGACATTTTTTTTTTAATAAATCTTAACTGATGCTCGTCTAGCACACTTTTTTTTGCTGTATGTACGTACTTCGATTGTCCCCCGAATTGCAGCCGATGTGACAGCCTGAAATGTATTGCTGTCGGCGTTTGAATGCATTTTCCACTGAAACACAGAATGCAATTAGGAAATCGGATCAGACGACAAAATTCACTTGATTTTGACGCCCCATTTATTATATACACGAGAGCATAATGTTTGCGTATCATTCGCTCAATGTGTTCAAATAGAAAAATAAGGAGAGAACAAAAAATGTCGCTTGTAATAAACAGCGGCTCAATATTGATTATCATTTTTTTTGGAACTGGAGAGCAAGACGAGGCAAAAAACGTCACCCAAAAATGTGTGCACTGCTGTGATTCGAGCGATTTCCATGCGAATTGCACATAGCATTTATGTGCTGTTGTTTTTTTCTTTGTGTCGTTATAGCTATCTTCAAATTCCCTGTTTGTTACACAACCAAACAAACATCACATCACGTATAGATGCCATAGCGACCTTCTGTTTCGATTAAAAACACAAAAATTATACACAATAAATACAAATTTTCTATCGCATTTCGGATTGTGTTGTGTTTTTGTTTGCATGCGTATCATCTTTTGTGCGTGAGGTAATTCATTTATTGCGAACGAGAGAGAGGGAGAGAAAGAGTGAGTGAGAGAGAGAGAATGTATGAGTGGAAGATACGAAGGGTGAGTTTATGAATCAGTGAGATTTATGCGGTAACAAAATGCAATTGTTCATTTCTTATTGTGTGTTAAAAAATATTGATGTAATACATCCATCGTTCGTTTTATTGCAGTTGTTGTTGCTGCTGCTGCTGCTGTTGACGACGAATCGTCGGATGGCACGAACGTCCGATGTACGGTGATGCTGTCGCAACAGAGAGGGACTGTGTTGTGCTGCAATGGAAGGAGAAGCATTTGTTCGGTGTTGCATCAACCGAAAATGAATTTTCACTTTGTTTACATTTGGGGTATACTTGGTGGTGTTTTAACTCCGTTACTTTAATTCAGCGAATTTTGTTTTTTTAAGCACAAATTGCTAGCTATCTGTGCGATTGCATTGCTTTAAAGTGCTTTTAGTCAACGTCAAAAATGATTTAATTTATATGTACACACACAGCCATTGATTTACCCTTGAACACATTGAATTGAGAACTCAATCCGTGGATCTGTGCACCCGGTTTTCAGTCGTAACAATATTTATGCATGCATTTGTGCAAATATTTGATCACTTACTTAATGAAAAAGCAGAACGGATACAGCACTGCCTAGTTGATTTACATATCCAGCAGAGAGTCGACGGCGAAATTATTATTAATTCGACATGACGTAATGGTTTTTTGAACGAAAATTTTAACATTACTGAACCAACAGCATCAACTGTAAATTGATTATTTTTAAAAAATTTCCATCCACCAGCAGCAACAAATCCGCATAATCCAGACCAGCAAGTGATATGATAAATCAACCTTATAGCAGTGGCAACTATGACTTTTAAAAGTTCTAAATGGATCTCGAGCTACTTTTTTTTGGCATAGGTCTATTTTCGATGATGTAAAAAAATGTCTCGATTTTCGATTTTGAGAGGTCGGGAAAATTCTTCGTTTATCAACGGATACTTGAGACTCGAATTGTTTGTGAACAAAATCAATAATCAATATTGCTTCGACATAACATTGGGAAAGGTAGAATCTGAAGCTATTTCAATTTCAGCATTGAACATTGAGATGTAAGGTGAAACAATGGCCGAGTCTATATTGTTTTTTTTTCTAACTTTTTTAAATTGCTTCGAAATGGTTGGGGATAATTTTCAGAAGTGAAGTTTCCTATTTTGGCTTCGCAACAATGTCACATCTATAGACGGTTTGTTTAACTTATCAATGAAGTGCCGCTGGCTATTCGACAGACACTCAAAGGGAGAAAATCACTGTCCAACACATATTGTGTTTCCAAGTCCATGGCAGAGTATTTTAGAGAAATACAATGGTATTTTTTTGCAAATTTCCAACAAACGTTTTGATTTATTGCGTATCAATATCATTTTGTGTTGTTCCGTTTTTCCGATTGTGATTTTGATTGCTTTTGCGAACGTAATACCTCTGTGTATGGACGCAAAAATTGTGTGTTTCAGGTTTTTCTTTGTAGAGGTGTAACAAATCGGGGAGTGATGTTCAATACGATATTAAATTGCGTTTTTTTCTCCATAAATTTGCAAATATTGTCTGTTAAAATATCTTATCTGCTTGGCAATCATTATATTTACAAATGGAATTCTATTGGATATAGCAATCTTTTTATGTATAGTCACAACGAAATGCTTGTGGTTACAATTCAAATTGAATACAAATTTTCTCATTTTTTCATCTTTAAATTCGTAATAATCGAAAGAATTTCTACAATGAAAAAAATAATTTCATCTGAGTTGCTTCAATTAGAACTCATGAGAAAAGTCTCTTGGTTTAGTTGACAATAAGCTTGAAATGTGCCTAGTTTACATATCATTCCATTATTTTGCACGAAATTACAAATTTTTCCTCAATTGTTCAGTCCATCAAAAAACTCAAAGGATCAATAAACTCATTTTATTGAATCCAATATTTATTGATGAATATTCTGAAAGACAAACACTGCTCCACTGTGCGCATATTAATTAATTTTTCTCTCTTTCACTCATTCCATTTCAAACAAAGAGAAATGTTATTAATCCCTGCGGCTGTTTTTACCAATGCGCGTGTTGAATGCTTTGTTAACATCATTCACGGTATTTTCAAGTGACTGGCACATAATTCCACCGATTGATCCATATCCAACCATTTGATATTTCCAGTATCGCTCCCTGTCTCGAATTGGATATTCTTTGAAATGTCACCAGTTTCATCGTGAAAATGCTGCCGTTTGAATTAGCTTGTACACATTTTTACTTAAACCTTGGGCATTACAGTACATTTCTAATCACAATTATTCAATACTTCGAATTCTTTTTGTTATCTTTTCCCATAAAAATGGAAAGCCATTCACGGAATGCGTGGATGGGTTCTGATAATGAGAATGTTGAGAGTTTGTGATTTTTTTTGGAGATTCTTTTAGTGAATTAATCCGTTGTTCGTTGTAAAATTGAACGTTTAGGTACACTTCTAGTAGAAATTTACCGCATGAAGACTGAAATATAATATTTTCGATGTTATCAAATAATGTTTTTATCAATGAATTTATATCAAATTTCCAGTTCACATTATCGTGAATGTTCAATCATCAAAATACGAAGAAAAATGGTCAATATAAAACCTCTTGAACTGCGATTCGAATTGTCTAAAATCAACATTGTTTTGCTTGATTGTCACTAACGTAATTTTGTTCGTCAACGTTGTCTAGGTGACTTTCTCAATTTGATTTGCGAATAACGCCCTATGATAAGCCTGCTACGCATTCTTTTACAAATACATAAAATTATTGTTTCCACCAGGAAAGTCAA